TTTTTATATCATAATACATCATATTATTTATCAAATTTGAGAGATTGTCGATTCTCAATTCCGAAGGATTTTTATTTTTCATGCTCTCCTTTTGGATGTACATCAGATATAATTCAATGTTCGGCGTGGCAAATAGCCAGGAAAGTAGTTGGTTTTCTGTTGAATATTCAGATTGATGTTATGTGCATATACATATTATTTTCATTTGATGGAGAATGCAAATTCCCAACTTCAGAAGATTTTGTGTTCAAATACTTATCGTGTGTATTCAATAGATATAATTCAATGTGCAATGATCAGAATTCTGAATCTTGAACCACCCTGTATCTGTTCCGATTAAATATCAGTAAATGGTGAATCAAAAGTTGAGATTGGGACATGTATGTGAGCCGTTTTGACCGATAATGAATAGTTTAGACACAAAAAATCCTAAAGTTGAAACATCTCGATTTTGAACACCCTATATCTCTGTAATCTTTTTCGATAGATCAGCTCTTCAGGGAGAATCTATGAATACGATAAAATACAGGGTGTTCCATTTGAAATATCAATGTTGCTACTACTTTCTAGTAGAAGCGGCAACACTGCATTGTCGAAAATGTTTAAATGAAGAGAGCGTATTCTAAAATATGAGCATGCACATTTTCATGGATTTATCCCGACTGATTCTCGATATAAAGCGAGTATAAAGATAGTGTAAGCTCGTCGTGACATACCCTGTATATACATCTATTTCTGCTTGTTTAATTTTTTTCTTGGTCCCGCAATTAGTTATCTTAGGTCAAAAGATATACAGGGTGATTCACATAAGAACCGACATAGAGCAGGGACATGTAGGGGGTCCCAAAATATGGCAATTTAGCGCAACTTACCTCTATACCAAGTTGCTTCCCTAAGGAGTTATAGGCTTTGAAAGTGAAGTTATAAATTTTGAAAAAAATCAATACATATCTCCGTTATTCTTGAACTTAAAGCAACAAAATTTGGTACACTTTGTGGATGTATTTAAGGCGTTACTTGACAGTTACTAGAGTTTAATTGAAATTTGTAAAGGAGGTATGCCGGGTGGCGCACCATTAATATTCAACAGAATTTTGTTAACCCTTGATGGATTTAAAAAATCTTTGCTTTGTTTCGTGGGCAATTCAAGTCTAAAACTTTTCTTGGACTAGTAATTTCTCGAAAAACCTCATCATTTTCATCAAAATCTCTGATAACTGAAAACGCGTGCTATAGGTGTGTTATTTAAAATCATCGAAAATTCAAAAGATGACTATGAAAATAAACGTCAAACTTGACAATGAAGCAAGTAAGTTGTTCAATTAAGTAATTTATCGATAAACAATTGTTTGTTCTGGTTGTTGTTTAAGTTTTTTGTGTTTATTTTGGTTAGTTGTTAATCCCAGTTTTTCACATTTCAGTGTCTGTACTTACTTTACGTATTTTGTTACGTATCTAAATGATAATTTGCCAGCCAATTTCTACTGATCACAATTAATGACTTACTTTTTTGTTGTACGATTATTTTCAAAGCCAACTTTTGAATTTTCGATGATTTTAAATAACACACCTAGAGCGCGCGTTTTAAGTTATTCGAGTTTTTGATGAAAATGATGAGGTTTTTCAAAAAATTACTGGGGTAAGAAAAGTTTGAGAATTGAATTGCCCACACAACGAAGCAAAGACTTTTGAAATCCATCAAGGGTTAACAAAATTCTGTTGAATATTAATGGTGCGCCACCCGGTATACCCCCTTTACAAATTTCAATTGAACTCTAGTTACTGTCAAGTAACGCCCTAAATACATCCACAAAGTGTACCAAATTTGGTTGCTTTAAGTTCAAGAATAACGGAGATATTGATTTTTTTCAAAATTTATAACTTCACTTTCAAAGCCTATAACTCCTTAGGGAAGCAACTTGGTATAGAGGTAATTTGCGTTAAATTGCCATATTTTGGGACCCCCTACATGCCCCTGTTCTATGTCGGTTCTTATGTGAATCACCCTGTATGTAATTAGGTTATTATAAACTTTTACTGCTCAGAAGGCTCATAACATACAAACCTAGAGGCATCCTCCACCAATAAGAGGCGTCGAACTAGAGGTATAATATGTATTATACAATGCCATAATTTTTTATAGTTTGAGGAAAAATCAAAGAAGCTTTCTGAAGCTTCTGTTCCATCTGTCTCGACGACTATGAGACACAGTAGGTCGAGCAGTAGGTATAGTTTTCAGAGAGAATGGCACTATAACCACCGGTCATAATACGATCGAGATCGAGATTATTGTCTGAATTTCGCTGGATTCTTTCACTGATCCACATAATAATATTCATTAATAATAAAATCGATCGCATCGAGGATACGAAAGAGTATGGCGCGGATCAAGGTCGAAAAGCGACACGAAAAAACGGTCTAGACTAGAGATTTTCGTGAAAGCTCACGCCAACTACAAATTTCTTCATGCAGAGTTTCTTTCTCATAGAAACTTCAAGTCGCGACTTTGTCCTTTTTTTTTTCATTAATATCTCATATACTTACACTACACTGTAGCGTTTCAACTTGACATAATTTATTTTTTCTGCAACCGACACTAAAGTCGTCCATTTTAATACAAAAATTAGCTCTTGAATTGACGTTTCTATTACTGACGCAAAAATAGGTATGTTGCTAAGCAACACATTCAGCCAAAATTGAACAGCTCCTAGGAGCTAAAAAGGATGTATTAGAGGGCATGAAAAATAAACATCATTGTTATGGTTGGTTTTCTGGGTTGGGACGCATATCTGATTTTTTTCCGATTTCGACAGATTTAGCATTTCATACTAATGCTGGAGATATAAATACATTGATTAGTATAGTCTTTGAGTATTCACACTAGTGTATATAATCAAGGGTATAGTTGAGTATTTTTTCGATCGGAAAGCCTTCAAGATTCACATCCTCGCTTGATCTGTATTTCATTCGTTATTCTCGGGATGGATAACTTGTTTTTTGAATAATCACGGCCAGCAATAGTTTTTTGTCTCAAACAACGATATTGTTTACCTACATTTGATTATCAAGCCAAACACAGTGGAGTATGGAGAGAAATAAATAATCGCTATTATTATTGTTGATATGCTCACTAACCTAACATTTTCCACTGGCGCGGTATTTGCCATTAGAGCACCTGGTCCATACACAAATATGTCACTCTGTGGTTGTATTGAAACTACAATTCGAACATCCTTGAAAATTGAATAAACCTGCTGTAATGTAGGTTGTATATTCTCACCACACGGATTATTTGTTGCATTGCATACATATGGCACGGCATTGGTGGTTACTTCACAAATTCATTTTAGTTCATTGTTTCGGTTGTAGAAATAATAGCATGTTTCATTCGGATCAAAAGTGACTTTGTTTGACTCGCAAATTTTGCTTTCGCTTGTCGAACAAAGTTCCACTTTTGATCCTAATAAAACAATCTACTATTTTCTCCAAATCACATTAAAAGTGGATTTTTAATGACACTTAACAGGCAGAAAAGGTGTACTTTTACTGTCTTGCCAGAAAAAGTTTGTTGCTATGCAACGTTCCAAGTAATTTGAATCAAATTGGTAATCAAAATTGACAATGACTTTGGGTGAACAAAAAATGATGGATTATTTGGACTTTGCGTGAAATTGAAAAGAATTGGCACGTGGCAGAAAAGAAGATGTAATGCCTTGGCTGGTTTCCTAGCCTCGGCTACGCCTAGGCTATGAAACGCCAGCAGCGGCATTAAATCTTGTACTTTTCTGCTAGTAAAACAAAAGTTATTTGTTTTACTAGGCAGAAAAGTAGTAGATTGACTGCCGCGGCTGATAGTTCATAGCCGAGCGTAGCGAGGCTAGGAATTCTGCCAAGGCAGTCAATCTACATTTGCTGTCGTATGAAACATATAATTTTTTTCTCCAAATATTATAAAACCAATTTTGTGTAAATTTTTCATTAAAAACTCCATCATTTTTGTGATTCATCTTTCTTTGTACGATGTGGTTTTGTATAAATCAAAGAGCCATACATTCAACAATTGGGTAATAAATACGCCTCAAATTAACCTTAAACCAAGAATATTCACGAACAGATTAAATTTGAACACTTTTAAATTGAGAATTAACATAATTCGAGTGCTGGATGAACACATTTGAGACAAATTCAAATCACCATTCATCATTCGTCAATATAGGTACAGTCGTCTTCAGAGAACATGTCGCACATGGACGGTGTCAGCTCTCTTAATCACCGCTGCAATAAGAGCACTCATACCGTCCAACCGCGACATGTTCACTGAAGACGAGTGTACGTAGGTAAATAGGTGTAAAGCTGTACAAATCTGGGATTTATTTTCTATTTCAATAAAAAAATATTTTAGTCGCTACTTGAAATTAATTGATTACTCGAGAAGACGAGAAGGCGTAGGCCCAGATTAGTAAAAAGTGCAGTCTCAATTTAGAATTCTGGAATGTTGTATCACTGTTGCAGAATGACACTCATATTAATTATATTATTACTGTTTGAAAAGTAATACTCACTAATTTTGTATGTTCATCGAGTTATCAATTGGAATTACGAATCTCCCTGTAAGGGAAATCAAATTATATATATTTTATATATTATCGCCGAAAAATATAACGATATGAAAAACTGGGAAGAACTGGAACATTGTTCGTGATTATGGTTTAGCGGTGAAGGTCGAGCATGCTATGGAAACAATTGCCTCTATTCTGCCTTCACCTTAAAGACAGACATCTTACTTTTATAACCATACTTTTTAGAGTTCGTACTTTTTTTAAATGATATAATAAAGTGAAACACTGTGAAATCTTAATAATTATTTTATCAAAATGAACCGAGTTTTATCGCTTTTTAACGACATCACTTGTAAAATCACACCTGGATATTTGTTCACGTTACAAAAAGTGAGGAAACCACACAGAAATACAGAAAATGATTTATGCGTTTTGTTGCAGGTGAAAGTAGTCAAATTCAGTTATATGTGGACTATAAACAACTTTAGTTTTTGCCGGGAAGAAATGGGCGAAGTTTTGAAATCCTCGACGTTTTCTGCAGGTGCCAATGACAAACTGAAGTGGTGAGTAATAAAATCTGAGGTTATGTTTCTGAATTCCTTTCCATAGTTCTCATTCTTCATTCACCTTGTTCACCAAGTCGGACTTGACTCGATCGTTTAGGACTAGGAATTTGGAATATCTTATCACAAAATATTTGGCCTTCGTGGTTATATATTTTTTCAAATAAATAACTGACTAGGTTTGTTTTGAAAACGGTTCTGAAGGTCATTATGGTTATGTATAATGCCACGACCGGCGTGCCCGTATTCTTTCTCTTCGCTTATCTACAGAGCTGGGCATTATTTTTCTATTTACTCTATACTTATTACTATAAAACAAAATCACAACACTATTTCCTCAACCATTTTGAAAGTGACTTTTCTTTTTTCTGTTTCAGGTGTTTGAGGGTGAATCCTAAAGGTTTAGATGAAGAAAGCAAAGACTATCTCTCATTATATTTGTTATTAGTGTCGTGCAATAAAAGTGAAGTTAGAGCCAAATTTAAATTTAGTATATTAAATGCAAAACGCGAAGAGACAAAAGCGATGGAAAGTCAAAGGGCTTATAGATTTGTGCAAGGGAAGGATTGGGGTTTCAAGAAGTTCATCCGAAGGGATTTTCTGCTGGACGAGGCCAACGGTCTTCTTCCTGATGACAAACTAACGATATTTTGTGAAGTAAGTTCTTTTGTGATGAATGTGAATTCAAAGGTTATTTTTTCATTATAATTTGAACTGGAATGAAGTGAAAATAACTTCATATTTTTCAGCGTTATCAGATTATTAAGAAAAATCGGATAGATAGACATAAATACTACTAAAATGGTGTTATTCACTTATATTTTGATTCTGCTCGCCCTGTAGTACAGGGTGATTCATTAAGAATCTTTAATCTTTCAACAGTCTGAACTACAGATAGTAAACACCAACATATGAAGATTTAACATGTCCTATGATATATATTCTCTATTTAAGAATAGTAATAGAGTAATGAAATAGTTTTCTGTATAGTTTAGCAATATAACATGTGAACTCCACCATGAACATTAACTTGGTGGTTATTGTCTATTCACGTTTGGGTTGACATATACTTAGTATATAAGTAGCCCACTATGATATAACATTTAGTTTCAATCTTCTCCTGAAGATGCTAACATAGTTAGCGAAACACGTGTCGAGATGTAAAAAATCGGTTTGGTTAGTGGTAAAACAGTGTGTAGTGGACAATGATAAGCTCTTTAATCTTTTTTTTTGTAAAGGAGAGGACATTTTCACAGGTACTGAAATGTTATTTTTTTCAGGTTAGTGTCGTCGCCGATAGTGTAAATATTTCAGGCCAGTCAAATACGATACAGTTCAAAGTTCCGGAGTGTCGGTTATCGGATGATTTAGGTTTGTTGTTCGAGAATCAAAAGTTCAGCGACGTCACGTTATCGGTTGCGGGGAGGGAGTTTCAAGCTCACAAAGCCATCCTAGCAGGTGAGAATTCCCATCAATTTCGTCACAACTCATCATGCATGATGTTTTTTCGTTATTAATATTCAAATTGGCTAAATTGAATTGCTAAATTAGTTCCAAATCTGCTCAGAACTGATTAAAAACAGAATATGAAAACTGCATCATTCTCCATTTTCGGGCCTTCAAAGCCATCCTAGCAGGTAGACATTGTCTTGTTCCTTTTTACTGATTCAAAAGGTTTTTTTATGTGTCGTTTTAACATAATTGTTTCCAGCTACTCATAAGTTTAAAAAAAACGTGAAAATGGTGAGAAAATTAGTAGATTTCAGCTCCAGGTTGTGTTGTCTCTCGACGTGTCTATTGAAGTAATCAAGTATCTGTCAGTCTGATTCTGTGATTTTATTTCAAAAAATTGCGAACTAGTGGTTGTTTAATAACTTACTTACCCGCTAAGTGGAGTGGAAGATGAAAGGACTTGTGCTTCTTTCTCGGAGACGGTGATATGTGATGTATATCCGGGAAAAATGTACTAATTTATGAAAAGTGACATTTTATAACCTTTCAACAGAGATAAAATTTCACACTCTTTCCCCGTCACAGAAAAAAAATATTTATTTTGTCTCGAGTCATAGAATTGCAGATACTCCCACCATTAACATTGCTAATTAAAAAAAAAAATTCAATCAGTTTTGACTTCCAACATTAGCTTTTCTATGATAATCATTATCTTTCGAATTTTCTGCAACAGCTCTTCATTTTTCATATCTCGTATATTTTTAAGGTTTGAAAAAATTTTGATTTTTCGAAAAAACTAATTTTTCGACTATATGGTTTGATATTTCTATTGATTTATGAAGTTGTTATGTTTAACACTTCGCTTTTTTCAACTTTTGATGAAAATCGCCAAAAAAACGTTCAGTCCTGCAAATTCCTATCAGAATAAGCAATTCTTCCAATGATCATAAATTATAATAATGAAGATGCGTCTGCAGTAATTCGCATTATTTGAAAAATGCTATACTCTAACAGTAACAGAGGGAGGAAAAAATGTTACTTCAAAAGCTGTTGAATAATGATATCCAAATAGTGGGTCACTACCATTCATTATAAATTTTTTTGCCAGATAAGAACCTGTCACTGTAATCATGTTCCATGATGATATTCTTCAGATTGGTGAAAGTCACAACTCCCAATAAAGTATATATCTATCATTCAAAAAGAGTTTTTCATGATATCATTCAAAAAGAGTTTTTCATGATTAGAAAATTATTTTGTGCTGCTGCTTCTTCCGTATCAGTGGAGATAAATTTCTCAACATTTGTTTTAGTCTATTTCAAAAATCGATTAGGAACGGATAAAGCTGCAGAGTTGGTTATTTGTAAAGGCACTACAATAAATTGAAATACTAAATTTAGATACAATGACTAATATCATTGTTTATTGTTTATTGAGAAAATAGCTTCCAGTCAGAAATAAAATTCTGGTATGAGGAAGTTGATTACAAACAACAATAATAAAATAACATAAGAATGACAACAACAAAATCTTAAAAGTCCAAAAATGCTAAATATAGGGACTAATCAGTAGATGGCAAAGTATCAATTTTATCCATATATCGTTCATCCCTGAACCATATCACTCTCGGGTCTTGAACCGATCATTCCATTCTGAAGTACTGCGTCTATCAAGTTTTTTTTTTTTCACCAGCTCGAAGTCCTGTATTCCAAGCGATGTTCGAACACGAAATGGAAGAAAGGAAACACAATCGGGTGGACATAACGGATGTCGATCATGAGGTGTTGCGTGAGATGCTGAGGTTCATCTACACGGGCAAGGCGTCCAATCTCGAAAAGATGGCCGACGATTTGCTCGCCGCCGCCGATAAGGTAAGTGATCATTTTATGACGTTTATGACAACTAACAGAATGTTTCAAATTAAGTCATTCATTGATAGATGTATAGAAAGTCAAATGGTGTTATCACTTCCTATTGAAAGGAGTTTGGAAATCTCTTGATATTGCCTACTTTGTAAAAATAGCGAGGCGTTAGAAAATCTTGCTAAATTCCCGAAGTTTCAAACCAAATTTACAGGCATCTTGACATATTCATTTTCTCACAATTTTTTCAGTAAATGGAAACGGTGTGTTATATTTTCGACTTTCAATGGTAAATTCATGAATGATAGGAAGTTCTAACTCAATAAAAAAATCCTATGATAATATTTCATTTACTCACGTTTGGTACATAAAATAAAATGAATGTTCGGATTTTACAAATAATCGTTACACATTGCAGCAAAGTCAGTCCATGATGAATGCCTGATACACTCACTCAACTAATATACTATCAATAACTACTTAATAACCTACTTTTGCTTTTATACATTATCATTCATAATGATTTATAATATTTCTATTTGAAATTTGAACAAAATCATGAATATGCCGAAAACGTGACAGTTGTGACAGATATATATATATATCCCTATTATAAACAATAATGTTTCTTGGGGTAATAAAGACAATCAATATGTTGAGTCAAGATCAAGATTATTCCGCACGGATTATTTGTTGCGTCCTATCTCTAGATGCTTTTATTCAGCTATTATAGCATTCGTTTATTATCAACGGAACTCTTCAGGTCCCGAGAGAAGGAAAACACATCCTTGATAGTCTAGTATTTCAACTTCATGTAATCAGATTCCAAACGCATTTTGAAATTTTCATCTATCATCGAATATGAGAACGCCTCATTCCGAACTCGCATTCAATTGTTCATATAGAGAGTTAGTCTGACGAAACAATTGAAAAGTGGACACACCATAGGAATTATAAACATCTCAATCCATTGTTCAACCCATTTGAACCTGAAACTTATTTTATCCGATTTTGTACATGGTCTTCTTGAAACCGGTTAAAAGAATGTCCCATGAGTTCAGAAATGTTCAATTACAAGTTTTGGAAAAAACATCGGTACTTGTTAAAAGGACGGTATGGTAAGGGTCTACTATTAGAAAAATAAATGAAGATTCAAAAATGTTTTCATATTATATCTTACAAAATGCTTAACAAAATTTTAGCTCCTTTAGGAGTCACAAAGATGTAAAAGAATTGTCAAAAAATAAGTGAAAGTGCTGGTAAGGCATTTTCTGTAAAAGATCTGCATATTTTCTGGAGAACAACTGAAGCTCCCAAACCCATGTGGTTATGTATCCAAGACGTAGGGTATCTACCAAAAATGTATACCGCCATCTTATAGGTTTGTCTCAAATAAATGGCTTACCAGCTGTGTCTTCCAAAACACGGTATAAAAGCTGTGATTCTCTTCAACTGGGGCATAATCAAAAAACTTTTTATTTAGGCTGTTGAAACAAGGACCCAGTTTAGATAACTTGTCATTTTTATTAAGGAAAGTATTATCATTGCAATGAAGATTACTTATTATGAATTGAAATCTATCTCTGGAAATAGCGACTGATATAAGTTTTTATTCTGGGAATTGTTGCAATTCTGCCAATACTTATGTCGCCTTGAAACAGTTGTATATCCACTGACAAGTAACACCCCTATGAAGCAGTACATCTCGTCTGCAGTAATGTTACCGGGGCTGTTTTTTTGCTGTGCATGAATATTGCTAAAATTGACAATTTCTCCTACCAAGTTTTCGTAACAAAACAGCTTGAAAATATTCACAGGGGAACGATTGCTTTGTGCAGTTTGAACTGATTGCCATTGCATAAACGTTGAATCTAAATATCTTCATTGAGAATATAGTCAAACGTCTTTTTGAGGTTAGGTCGCCTTTCATCGTCTTCAGCCCCAGAATCTCCATCGGTAGAGTCATTCTCCGATTCCTCTAAGAGCTATCTCTGCCATAGTGGTTTTCTCTAATACCTGCAAAAAACGCGTTCAATTGAACGCCTCTGGATTGATCTTGGAGTGTGGAACATAACCACAAATATAAAAAAGTAAGGATATTATGTTATTTGTTGAATATAATCAAAACAACAACGAAAAAATAAACGAATTTCAACATGTCTTACCACCTTGAGTCACACAACATGGAGTTGGATCATCTTGTTAGTGTAAATGAGCAAGGCCTGTACCTAATATAATGTGGAATATTAGATACCATAGTAAGGCTTCACAAGGTAAACACTGGATGGGGTCACTTGGATTGATGAAGATGATGTTTATTTATTAATGACATTTATACGACATTGACATTATGAACCACATCGGAAACCAAAATAGTGCTGTCAGCTAATTGGAACAAGTAATTGATGAATGTTGAAGGTTGGTTTTCATGTGGAGTTTCTTTTTTGCAGTATGCACTGGAGAGGCTGAAAGTGATGTGTGAAGAAGCACTTTGTACAAATTTATCGATAGAAAACGCCGCTGAAATCCTTATATTAGCGGACCTCCATAGCGCCGATCAGCTGAAAGCTCAGGCGATAGATTTCATCAATACGTGAGTATAAACATTGTACTGTTCAATAATTCATAGGAAATGAAGAGCTTCACATGACCAATCATTTTTTGTGAAAATAATTGTGTTGAGCAAGGAAACTACATAATACCTAATTGAATGTTGGGTTAAGAAAGTAATAGACTCTGGTCTATAATTTGGAACTCTATGAAACAATTGTGTGTTCAAGATTTAAGTTTGATGTTTGAAATGAAATGTGGACTTTCACTCACAAGATATATGTTCAGAAACTCAAGATGTCAGATGCAGTATACAGGTGGATCTAATAAATTTTGACAATTCAATATCTAAACAGAGTTTTATCGAGGAGCAGTTTTATCAGTAGTCATTTTTGTTCTGAATGGAAAAGTAGATGAGAGGTATAGTATTCTGTTCAATGACCCAAATTATGTCTGCCTGTGAATGGCGCCAGTTCACGGAAAAATGCCAATGTTACATTCATATAATATTTCATTAATATGATCCCTTCCACTGGATGACTCATATTTGAAACATTGATTTGTTTCTACTCATCACTAATAATTTTTCGTTTCTCATTAGACAAACTACTTATACAGGTGTGATTTTTAAAGAGCTAGCAGTTTTCAACAATATATTCTATATTTTCATTCAAAACGATCAAATCATTGGTTCAAAAAAATTACAAATTTTGTCATGTAGAAGAATAAACCATGAAGTTATCGGATTTTTTTATTCATTTATTCATTCATCACATGGAAGTAATACACATTTACAATTACAGTTGAAAAAATATAAAAACATTAAAACTGGTACAAAGTTTAAAGTAAAAACCCTTTTCTATGTACTAACATAAACAACAGGCTATCTAATGGCTCTTTTCATTTGCCATAATGATACACTAAAGGTATTAATTGATTTTGAGTGAATATTAACCTGTCTCAATAATCTTATCATCCCTATGTTTGCTTCGTAATTAGTGCGGTTTCCACGTACAGCTCGAGGTGAACGTATAATTTCACTTGTTCTAATGATTCAAGAGCGTCGATCAAATCGATCAAGATTTTCTTCACTAAACAAAAATGTTGAATCATCTGCTTAAAGAGTGGTAAAATACTCTGGTACAACAGAATGTAACTCATTTATGTGAAGGATAAATAACAGGGGCCCAAGTATGGATCCCTGTGGAACTCCTTGTGCATTTACCATAAGATCAGACATATATGTATTTCCTTTATCGATAATCTTGACGGATTGTAACCTGTTATCCAGGTACAAAGATAACAACTCGTACACTTTTCCCCTCATACCGTATTAATAAGACTTTTCTTTCAAAATATTGTGTTGAACACAGTCAAAAGCCCGACTGAGATCACAAAATATCCCAATCGGGCTTTCGCCCTGGTTGACCAAATTCAGAACTTCATTATAGAACGATTCCAAAGCTGTTGAAGTTGAAAATGTTGCTCGAAAACAATGTTGATGATCAGTTATTACTTTATGAATTTCTAAAAATTTCAACATCTGCTTCAGCATGGCATACTCAAATATTTTTGACATAAATGGTGATACGGAGAATGGACAATCGAGACCTTCAGTTCATGAGGCAAAACTCCCTGTTCAAAAGAAGTATTGATGGGGAAGTTGGAAGTTTCCTTCAGATGAATTTTCACAAGATGAGTTGAGAACTCTCCAGTTGTATGCCCACGCTGTACAGAATGGCGACCGATAAAGGTCCAAGTCGTTTTCATTTTCAAATTGAAGCAATTTCTAATTTTCGGGGCGGCAAACTTTGACGTACATTATGAATCTAGTCTGAAAATAGCTGATGGTGAAGAATATAGCGAATAGGTAACGAATAGCTAACAAATGAAAAACGAATGAAAAAAATAGAAGTAAAACTGGTAAACAAAAACATACATAACCACAAATGCACTCGGAGCAGGGATACAGAAGGTAGTTGGCTTCATTCTGACAGGTTATGGTTTTGTTATTCATGCATTGAAATATCTCAGATAGAGCTCGACCCTAAACAAGAATATCATTGAATCAATGAATCACGATCGGCTACATTCAATGATACTATCCTTCCTAATTTACTGCCATCGGTCAGAACAGAATGAAGCCGACAGCCATCGCTCCTTCCTCTTGTTGTGCCTGTCAGTATTTTGAGTGGTGTGGACGGACTCGAAGTAGTAGACGCTGTTGCAAGATATAATCTGCAATTTTCCCAGAAAAGAGATCCGCCTTATCAATGAACGAATTCATTAGGAAAGAAATGACTGACAAGTTATGAATAACATATTGTAATATAACGATAGTGAAAAATCATAGATAATATCGCAAAATATCATAATTTATCTGTATTAGTAATCAACTTCATTCAGCCAATGAGAGATTAATGGGAATTATTCATAATACTTGACAAAGTAGGATTGAGTTATTATATACTTATTATATATGCATTCAAAGAACAATTTCCGGAAATTTAGACATATTGATGATGTCGGCAACGTCGTACTGGCAGGGAATCGTATTCTAACTCTGTGTGAATGTGGATTTTCAGAAAGTACGTCATAGGAATGGTGGAGGAGCCATGTTCCTCTTTTATTTATTTTTTTCTGAAGTAGAAAAAATACGTATACATTAATTTTTTACAAACTTCAGAGTGAGATAAAAACCTCAATATAGGAAACTTCCCCATTATATGACAAAGCCGTTGTATTATAAAATTAGCAATTTGTTTGATGACAATACCAGATATAAACTACTTACCAGTGAAGTGGGACAGCCAGAAAATTGACTAATTTTGATAAGCTATAACATTTCTTGGCCGATGTTGGATTTTCAACCAAAGGTAGAAAGCGTCATCTTTCGGCTATGCGTCATTGGCGCCGGGTTTTTTTTTGCGATTCGTTCTCTTTGTGCAGAGTGTGAATTAAGAGCCGGAAAAATTTCAAATGTTTGACCAATAATTTGGGAATTCACACTCTGTACAAAGAGAACAAAGCGTAAAAATAAAAACCCGGCGCCAATGACGCATAGCCGAAGGATGACGCTTTCTACCTTTGGTTGAAAATCCAACATCGGCCAAGAAATGTTCGAGTTATAGCTTATCAAAATTAGTCAATTTTTTGGCTGTCCCACTTCATCTGGTAAGTAGTTTATTATCTTATCAAAACTACTTGAAGGATTATTTTTAATTTTGGTACATGTGTACCGACAGGCTCGAAAGCGTTAACAAATAAATAGCGAATTTCCAATTTCGCTTTCCAGGCACGCCACCGACGTGATGGACACCCCCGGCTGGAAGTCGATGATCCAGACGCACCCCCATCTCATAGCGGAGGCTTTCCGCGCGCTCGCCACCCAGCAGATCCCGCCCATCGGCCCGCCCAGGAAGCGGGTCAAGCAGAGCTGAAACCCGCCGGCCCCGCTCCCGCCGTCGGGCGACGCGCAGTGAAACCGTTTTCTGGGCGTGAGTCGGTCCCAACCGACTGCTTCAATGTGTTCAACGATGGTGAATGTACGGGGTGTGCGGGATTCGAGGGGTATGTTTGGGATATATCGGTGACTGTGACAGATACGAATGCCGGTTGGATGATAGTAGGAGAGCTGGCTGCAAATTTCGACCGTCATGGCACTTTCCTGTGCGTTAATTTGCACCCAATTTCGCGATTTGATGAAGAGATGAAAATTATGCCATCCGATACCATTTTTTTGTTTTAAGGCTTTATTCAAATAGTTCACTTTCTGATCTTAATCCGCGAGGGACCGCGCGGGGTAGAAAATACCCCAGGCGATATCAACTTACGATTTTTTTGCTTAATCTGCACGGCACTGAAAAATCACGCCAGCTCAGTGGCTAAATATGATCGATTAACAGGTTTTTGCATGTGTTTCGTCATTAGTTCTGCACACATCATAGTAAACTGTTTGTGAATAGTTCCATACCCCGCGCGGGAGTGAATTGAAATCCTCTATATCTGAATTCGTGTCTGTACAAATGGAAACTCAACCTCAAAACAAGCAACCTGCAATGGTAGTCAAATTTTCATATTATCCAGGAGAGAAAAAAAAAGAAACAATTAAAAAAGGGACGTGCTTATAATATTATTTATGCGTTCATTGAAATTCATTATTCAATTCAAGTATATCAATCAAATTAAGTTCGTTCTTTATTATTGCTGTTTGTTTATTCCATTATTGTTATAAATAAAGCAATTCCACATCGGCCAAAGGTTTTTTTCGTCTCAACGTCCTTAAATTCAATCAAAACCAATGGGGTAGATTACTACTCCACGCGGTCCACGTTTGAGTTTCTATCGGCTCGGTCCCTCTCGGGTTAATTATTTTCAATTTAGTACATAACTGTTTTTGATGCTATTTGAAAGATAACTCCAAATCAGCACGTGATGCTGGTCTCGGAACTTCTTAATCCTACACACTTTCATTTCATTGTTACTATCCTAACCTGTTATTATTATGATTCTTTTTGACAACTCAGTTTCAAATATTTTTATGTTATCGGCTTTCCTCGAAGCCACTGGTAACCAATTGAATAGTAGATCTCAAAAACCTACAGGCCTTAATTTGAGCCAAATCCACGGCACAGCCATTTATTTGCTGCCGCTATTCCGGACATACTTCTGTCATGTGATAACAAGTTGAAACAAAAAGAAAATAAAAGAGGACATTGTCCATTGTCCCCTATGCGAATACCCAAACTGTGCTAAGATGGCAGAGCTTCAATATTCCCGAGAATATTTCGCCCCCCTCGAAAGATAATATCCGATGAACCAGTGTGAAACTAAACATGTGGATTTGAATGCTTGTAGTGCAAGCACCACATGAGTTCTATATTGGTCCATCGGATATTATCTTTCGACAGGGAAGAAATTATCACGGAAATAATGACGCTCTGCCACTAACTTAGCTCAATTTGGATCGCGCGACGTTTGGGTATTCGTCGGAAAGAGGACAGAATCTTCTTTTATTTGCTTCTTGTTTATGTATGTCCGGAATAATGGCAGAAAATACAACGGTGTGCCGTGGATTTGAATCAGATTAAGAGGGCGCATCAGTCAAAACTGCCATGCAGAGGTCAGTTTGGTACCAAATCATTAATAAACTATAAGTGTAAGCGCAAAAGTGGTTGGTACATATTAAAGAAGAAGGTTGAGAATAGGATATGAAGGAATTTTCCAGCGAAATTCGATTTGTGTAAAAAAATATATGGTAATGAAAAACAATAACATTGACAACGTTTGTGTAACAGAATCGAATAAAAACCTGGCATACCCTAAGTTAGGAATTCAATGAATTTTTGATGAAATAATCAGCTTCTGGAAGATTGTCGTTTGGGAATGTATTGTTCGTAAAATTAATTCTGACGTTTCTGCATCTATTTTCAATATCGCCATATTGTTAGCGAGGTTTCGACAGTGGCAGAGTAGTTCAGCTATTGTCTTTCAGAGGGCTACACAGTGAAACTACCGTGCTGCGCTCCTTCAAGAACTAATACAAACATTACAGTTCTCTTTCTATTCATTTCTTCTTTCTGGGTCCGGGGAACAGTGTTGCCAATAAGGCGCTTTTCAACTTCGTTTTGCGTCATTGCGATTTTTTGTAAGTAATTGCGCTTTTTTTTCTTTTTATAGTCTATCGAGTGTATTGCATAACTGACTCTGTTGATTGATAATATTAATCTAATATATAAAATTCTCCTGTCCCTGTCACGGTGTTTGACGCCAAACTCCTCCGAACGGCTTGGCCGATTCTTATGAAGATTTTTGTGCATATTCGGTAGGTCTGAGAATCAGTCGTAAACAATTTTTCAAATTGAAAATTCAAGATGGCGGATATCCAATATGGCGGACGAGTTTTGTAATCCGATTCTATTCCAAATTGGCATCTGAGGGTTTTCGGGATCGGATATTATGATTTCTTCGTCAAAATGAGGAGATTCAGAATGGCGGATACAATATATGGCAGACGAGTTGTTCAAATATAATCCGATTCTGTTCAAAATTGGTATCTAGGGAGTTTTCGGAGTCGAAGATAACAATTATTTCTTCAAAATTTGGAAATCCAAGATGGCCGATCCAATATGGCGGACAAGTTTCGAAATTATAGACCAATTGTTTTCAAAATTGGTATCTGGGATTTTCGGGTCACAGATTCAGAATCTCTAGTCAAAATTGGGAAATTCAAGATGGCGGTTTCAATATGGCGGACGAGTTTTGTAATTATCGACCAATTCTATTCAAAATTGGTGTTTGGGGGTTTTCGGGGTCGGAGATTATGATCATTTGGTCAAAATTGAGAAATTCTCATATCCCATATCTCAATCGTAACGTAACCACCACTTCCACTTCTTCCAATTTATAGAAAATAGTTTTGATTATCTTGAATTCCCATTCAAAAAACTGGTGTTGAAGTAAGTATACATAATCCACTCATGACAGGTAATATTCATAATTAAAAATTAGTGTAGGCATAAACAAAATATTGTCTTTTGTGATAGGCCCATATGAAACTCAAAAGATTATTTTTTATGAAAGCCAGTAATCAATCCTTTCCTCCTTTTCTCATTTGCTAAGAATTAGAAATCTGGTGCTACTTAGTTTCAACCAGTGACCAGTGATGCCAGGTCTAAGGAAATGTCATGAACATAAACGATTGACCCCTACTGATATATACAAAAACATCAGTGTTATAATATAAAATAGCAGAACGCTGGCAGCACTGCAACTGGCGGAGCGGGCGGTGTCGCGGTATCAGGCAGTGTGTGTGATTCCCCGAACGATTCCAACTGGAGTTCAAAGAAAAATCGATAAGTGACCAGTGTTGCCAGTATGGGCGATTTCTCGACAATTGGGCTATCTCTGAACCTATTTTGGCGACCAAAAATTGAACTTGGCGACAGGCGACTTATTGAGACGACTTGATGGGCTTCTGGGAGTGAGATGAGTATCGCGAGTCCAAATTCAATGGCTTTGTGGCTTTACCATCCAAGTAGATTCGAGTCATCCGCACAGAGCGAGATCCATTTGACGTTAGCAGGTGTTTTGTTTATATTATGTTTCTACACTCTACAGTATCATTCATAAAGTTGGCATCATATGGGAAAAAATTTTGATAATAATATATCATAAACATCTCATCTATTTTCATCAGGTAAATGTGTCTGAAATGTTTCAAAAACGCACAGAGAAAACATGTCAACAAAAACTTCAAAATCTCCGGGAAGTTCAAATGATTATAAGAACCAGAGGTACAATGATACGTATAACTTCTTCATTCTCTGGCCACAGAACTCTGAAATAAAAAGAGAAAATCCCTTTCAACGAAAACCTATATAGATCCGGATCCAATATGCAAATTAGATCCGCCATCTTCAATTTCCTAATTTTGTCAAAAGAATCATAAACTCCGATACCGAAAACCCCCAAATACCAATTTTGAATAGAATAGGGTTATAATTACGAAACTCTACCATATTGGATCCGTCATCTTCATTTTTCTGATTTTGACAAAAGAATCATATTCCCCGATACCAAAAACCCTCAGATACCTACGAATTTTGAAAATAATCGGATCATGAACAAAACTCGTCCGCCATATTGGATCCGATATCTTTATTTTTTGAATGTCGACAAAAGAATCATATTCTCCGATACCGAAAACCTCCAGATACCAATTTTGAAAATATTCGGATCACAAGTACAAAACTCGTCCGCCATATTGGATCCACCATATTTAATTTCTTTATTCTGACGAAAGTATCATTATTTTCAATCCCGAAAACCACCCGATACAGAGATTTTGAATAGAATCGGATCATAATTAGAAAACTCGTCCGCCTTATTGGATCCGCCATCTTGAGTTTCCAATTTAAAAAATAGTTTACGATCGATTATCAGACCTACCAAAAATGCACAAAAATTTTCATGAGAATCGGTCAAGCCGTTTCGGAGGAGTTTGGCCACAAACACTGTGACAGAGAATCAATAATATATGTTAGATATAAACTATCGTATGACTTTTATTCTATGGTGAGGTCATCACAGGATGGAAATACTAGGTGGTAAATATAATAATGTGAAATATATCATTCCACTTATGAATTTCTACTACTACTAATACTCTGTTTAAATACTGGCAACACTGTAGGTGACTTTGTACTTGTTCCCTTAGTACAGCCACAAACATTATTCAGAGACATCTATTGATGGGGTTCCCTATTGATTGAATTGAATGTATCTAAAGGATTCTGTAGAAATAATTCATGAAACTATAATTATGGCGCCACTAGACGGCTGTGATATATTTATAGTTTCACTGGTGTCTGTGGGCGAACTATTTCACTGTGATGCGCGCCCTTAAGGGGTGACACAAGTAGGTTTTTGAGATCTACCATTCAATTGGAATCGGATGGTATAATCCTCATTTTGTTATCAAATCACGAAATTAAGTGAAAATTACCGCACAGGAAAGTGCAATTTTTCAATCATTATGCTCAGGATAATAATTGGCACAGGTGGTGTTCCATAGAATGCAATGTATTAACGTGCTTTTCAGACATATATCATTTCGTTATC